TAGCACTGAGACGGACACTGGTCTTTATTGGGCCCCTTTTTAAGTTCTAGGTTCCACCTTCATTGGGGGGGAGTCTATATTATCTCTAGCTCTCTTGAACTTGGATGCTGTAGCCTTGACTGAAGCTCCGCATTCCAAGACCTGACTCATCCACAGTTGCAAGAACACCTCCAAAGCCTGATGGTGCAAACGCTTTGCCTTACACGATTCACGCCAAACCCTGCACTCTAAACGCTAGACCCTGATTCCTAACAAGCCCCTCATCCAGCATCGTTAAAAACGAGCATGCGGGATAGGGTTTGGGGTCTGAACATCTACATTCATATCTACATACAAGCATTCGCACTTATACATACACAGATGTCCTATAGGAGGAAGCAAGATCAAGAAACCCCTACATACTTCTTGCGAGGGATCTCTCCAAACATAAGCCCTAAACCCCCAATGAATCCTTAGGGTCCCTGAATCCTGGTTTAGGGTGCTAGTCTAGCACGGCCTCACGACAAGCCGACCACCTTCCAAACTTACTAGTCCTTAGTAGGGAATAAGGGACTATAATCCCTAGACAATCCCTCACTATACTCCCATACTCCCTGCTAAACCCTAAACCCTAAACCAAAAACAAATATATATATATATATGTATATATATATCTTTGTCATTCCCATATTCCCTACCAAGAACCGGTAGGCAAATGCACCACATTGAGGTTCATAGCTGAGGAATCCACCCCGGCTCGTACCCCGCATCGCCAGGATGACCACGTGAATGTTGCCCTCTGCCTGTGAGGTTTACTTGAAGGTTTAGGCTCAACTGAAACAGGGAACTCGGCCTAAACCCTAAACCCTACACCCTCAGGCCTTTTAGAGCCCCAAGGTTGCCAGAAGAGATATGAGCTCTAGTCAAAACTCCTTAAAGGGGCTATTTAGGGGATTATATAGGGGACTACTACAGGTTTATGGAGGAGTATGCTAGGAGTTTAAATTATAGCTCATATTGGAATCAAGCCGCTAACCCTGCAAGAGCGGGGTACCCCGCCGGCTCATGTGAGCTGGGTCTGGGATTTAGGGTTTAAGGTCTGAACTCCTAGCATCCTTCTTAATAGCCCCTATAAAGCTCCGCCATATAGTCTCTTATATAACCCCCTTTAAGGAGTTTAGACTAGAGTTTCATGTGCTGCCGGAGAAGGATTTATGGGATGGGTTTCTCTGAATCAGCCCACATCTCTACTGAAATTTCAAGTTGTTAGGTTCCACCAGATAAACAGTGCACGGCTTTTATATGTGAGCCATAGTCTTAGCTCCTAGTTCCCCCGAATAACCTCTATAATTCTTTTCTAGAGAAATCTCTTATATAACCCACTTTAAGGAGTTTATATTATGGCTCATGTATCTCCTGGTCTCCACATAACAACATAAGCCTTACTTGCATAAGCCTTCTGTAAGGTACCCACCTGGTAACTCCCTACCTGAAGATTCCCCTGTGCTCCCTCTCCAAATGCCCCTAGCACCACCCTCAATCCTGACATTAAAGTATACACCATAAACCCTAAACCGAGAAAATCCTAAACCCTATTTCCTAAACCCTAAACCCGCAAATCCTAGACCCCTAGATCCTAAACCCTGGAAACCCTGAAAACTCCTCTACTAAGTATCCCTGCCTTGAAGGAAGAGCTGCCCGACATGCTTGCCTCCTCGAAATGCTCTGAGGAAATGCCAGTGGCCTCCAGTTCATGTAGGGCCCAAAACGTTAGCAGTGCCAGCAGTTTAGGGTTTAGAATTCAGGTTTATGCTTCAAATTTCGCGTCTTAGGGTTTGGGGATTAGGGCCTGGGGGACCCTAATTGGAGATTAACATGGAAAAGGAGGTGGAACATGAATTGGAAGCTGGGGTTATGGAGGGGTTGCGGGGAGTGTAATGTAGGGGCCTGATTGCTCAGAACAAGATTTCGCGGTACTCTAGCTGCCAGAGGATCAGAAGGGCATGGTCTTGCCACTAATTGACCCCTGTAAACTCATGCATAAACCCAGTTCCCATCCATGTGTCATGGTCTTTCGCATTTGATGCTCCAGTATTGGAAATTAGTCAGGCTTCTGAAATCTAAACCCTAGACCCTAAAATCCCTAAATCCTAAACCTAACATTCCCTAAATCCTCCCCTTTAAATCCTACGATATCCCCATGCAATCCGTACATCCCCCTTTGGCCCAAGTCCGGTGAGCACGAAACCCTCTTAGTAGCTCTCAGCATCGTGCTTCTGATTCTTCAATCGCATTTGGGATTTTCGTTCGGAAAACCATTCAAGGTTTCCACGAAATTCATGTCCCTGCATGTGATAGAAGGATTATAGTTTGGGTACTGTCCCCCCCTCAGTAACAGTTGGATAATAAGTACAATATGGTTATATATAGCCCTTAATAGGACCCCTAATATAGACTGTTACTGGGTGAGGGCAGTACCCAAATTATAGTATTAGGGTATGCGTCAGGTATTTCAAGCACACCCCAAAAATTTGCGAGGTGAAGCTGGGAATGTCTCATGCGGTAGATTGTAGCATGGTCCCTAATCCCCCCCTGAACCCTAAACCCTAAACCCATAAACCCTAAACCCTAAAACCTAAGCCCATAAACCCTAAACCCATAAACCACCCTAAACCCTAAACCCATAAACCACCCTAAACCCTAAACCCTAAGCCCTAAACCCATTAAATCCTAAACCCTGAACCCCTAAACCCCTAAACCCTAAACCCAAGTCAAGGGCCAGACTTTTGAGGAACTTTGACCGTCTTCCATGTACAGGGCCCTTGAGGAGCTCCAAAGTTTCCTTACGCACGGACCCCTACTAAGCTGGGTTGCTGTTAGGGAACTTAAATTAAGTTACTATATTGGGGAAACCCTATTATTTACTATACATACCCATTATAGTAACTTAATTTAAGTTCCTTAACAGATACCCAGTAAGGGTTAACCCTTAGGTGCCTATAGAAATAGTAGGAATATATGGGAATCCCACAATGTTAAGGGTCTAGGGTCCAAGCTAAGTCCCAGGAAAAGTCCTGCTGCCAAGATTTTTGCCGCTGCTATGGGGCCAAATGCCTTGTTCGGATGGGAGGGCAGCCACCCTCCGCTCCCAGGTGGAGCAGGAAGAGCGGGCCGTCGGCCCCCACGCCGTCGCACAGCACAGGCTTTCAATGGGACTCTGAGACTACCTGCCCCTGATCCAACATAATGAAAATTGGTAGGCAGTGGCCCTGAACCCTAAACAGCGTGGTTATAGCCCTTTTGGCAGACTTCTGTCTTGAAGGGGTTTTGGACATGATGCTGAAATATCTACACAGCAGGGTTTTTCAGCAGAACAGAAGCTGAGCTTCCATTTGTGCTATCCCCTGGAACCCCAAAACCCTAACCCAATATAAAGAAACCTGGTGAGTTCTCAAAATTTGGCAGAGCTCGAGATGCTCGCGAACAAACACCCCAAATAATCCCACTATCTTCGCCATAGTTTTGAAGTTTTTGCTTAGAAGAGCTAGTTTAATTAATGTGCTTCGTTTTTGGAGGTCATAGCAGAACCCGGACCACCCCCCAAAAACCTGCTCGTTTTGTGAATCTTCTTGGGTGCACTATTGTTAGGGAGGGGGGCAGTGCGCCACATCAAGCCCCAAACCCTACGCTCACCTAAACCATTAACTGGCTAAACTTCATGTCGGATCAGAAGGGACAGCAGAAATGGAGAGACAGGCATGGCTTGCAGTTTCAACGGCTATGCATACAAACATGTTCCGAAACGGCTCGTCTGGCGGGTTCAGGTGTAGCGTAGGGCTTGGACAGACTGTTTAGGGTTCAGGTTTGAAAGGCAAACCCCCTAAAACCCCCAAACCTAACCCAGTATCGAGCGTGTCCCTACCTAGTTGCCCGAATTCCGGAGCTACGCTTGCCCAAAGTGGTGGGAGACTCGGAGAAAATAGGACATAATTATGTGTTGTTGCCTCTCCAGATAATGTCTAAACTCAAACATGATCTTAGCAGGCGGTTCTTGGTTCATATTATAATAGGGTATAAATATTGGGGTAATATGAGCTACAGTCTAAACTCCTAGTATCCCCCTTAATAACCTCTATAGTAGTTCCCTATATAATCCCCTGCATAACCCCCTTTAAGGAGTTTAGACTATAGTTCATATAGGGATAATGGAAAAGAAAATGGAAACTACTATAGGGATTATAGGTCCTAGGCCTGACCATTCTAAGTTCAGGGTCTTAGCGGCTTAGGGTCCCAGGGCTCAGAATCTGAAGTTGAGGTTTGCGGATTCAGTATTGGGTTTTAGGGTTTAGGGTTCAAGGTTTAGGGTTTAGGGTTTAGGGTTTGACACCAGGTGTGAGGGTCTAAAGCGTCTATGATGCTTGACAACCCTTGCTATGTTTGACAGCCCCGAGCTCCTCTGGGGCTTACCTAGAAAGCCTAGTTACCTATAATAATGGGCTACTTTAACCCAAAGTAATAGGAAATTAGGGGAAAATTGCCTATAATTATGTGCAGCTGGCTTTCTAGGTAGGGTTGAGGATCTTCTGAAAATCGTGACCTTACGCCATTCATCTGAAACCTGGGACCTTCAAAAACTCCACCCTCAAAACCCTCGGTGCATATAACGCCTATAATCCCTGTAGTTTCCATTTTCTTTTCCATTATCCCAAGATATCCCAAGATAACCCAAGATAACCCCAAAATTATCCCAATGGGTTTTGAAGCATGACAACTGCAGCCATGCTGTTAGGAAATGTCCTTGCCCTGCCACTGCTATTCTCTCATCTCAAGGAGATAGGGCGGCAGGTGCTGAGTGATGCTAAATGCTGCTTCCGCCAATAGAATGCGTCCCCAAAATGAAGTGATTTCTGTACCTTTGATGCTAGCTAGTAGTAGCAATGGATGGTAGGAGACGCAGGTAACAACCATTAAATGTAGATAGTTTGTTTGCCTGATTGGAGCCTTTTTGTTGAGGCTTTGCCTCACACCATGATAACAGAAGCTCCTTGGGCGGCCTTGGCGAAGCCAAG